GCACAGATCTAATCCTGAGTTGGACTCGGGAGCTGTCACTTAGTTCAGGCTGCATTTGATAGGATTCAAACAGTTCCCAGTTTTGGAAAACTTCCATTCCAACTACTTGGCCCTGTACCTGTCTCAGGTTTCTATATCAAGGAGCTTAGCTAGTTCCACTTCAAAGTCTCTATTTATTTATATCTTTTTAATACTGAGCCATAAATAGTGCTGAGCACTGACACCTCCCAAATTGTGCTCTTGGGCACCTGTCAAACAAATGTGTCGTATGAAGGAGAAGATAACAGTTCATATTCACTTAACTCCTTGAGCGCTCAGGGCAAATGTCTTGAATTTAAAGTGGGAAAAGATGGATGATAGCAAACCTGCAGCAAAGGGGAGATGTAAAAGAAGCTATAGTGACTTGTGTGATCCTGTTTGATGCCCTGATCTGATGTGTGCAGGTGTTTCTTACATAACCAAGCTTAAACCCAGCGTTTACTCTCTCACTCTTGCTCCATTTCACGTTTGTAGAATAGGAACAGCTCACATCACTTTCCCTTACTGGGGGCAGGAGAAGCAAGGATAAATTCAACGAGGGATGCAACAGTGTGTTAGGGAGCACATGAATAGTGTGGTAGAAGTTCTGGCAAAGATACCACATTTGTCTAGGCTGCTTTCTTATAAAACAACTCAGTTCAAGAAAACGAGATAGTCCCTGGTCCTCCTGAGGGCACAGACAGCATAATCTAGCTAGATCCCAAATTCCCCCAGAGCTGGAATGACAACAGGATGCTTTCCCCCCACCCAGATTAGCAAGACCTGCTAGGACAAAAACAGGAGGCTGCAAGTGAGAGGAGGAATGACAAAGCAGTAAGTATAATTATTCCTTTGCTTCTTGAAGAAGCTCAGAAGAAAATCTAATTTAGTAATGTCCAGAGGAGTCCCTGACTTATGCTTGGGGTTTGTAGGACTGAAACTAGGGCTGAATGCTTTCAAAAAAAATAATGGGGGACCCAAACAAAACAGAGCATGGAAGGTAACAGCAGCACCTCACCCAGAGCTGCAGTGCTGAACATGGCATCACGTTGAAACCAGCTATTTTAAAATGGATTCTGGTACAGTGTGAGCCCACTCTCACTCAAAGCCTCTCCTGTACTGTGTCAAAACTGCAGCCATGCTGGGGTGTGTGGTGCCTGCTTTCTCCCTGCCACGAGGGAGACTCCAGGGCCCTCAGCCTCACTGAAAAACAAGGGGCACACACCAGAGTACATTAAAATGGCTGGTACTTGTCCATATAGACCTGCTGCCCTCCCGTGGCTGCCAAGGAGCTTCTCTAATGCAGAAACAGGGAGACCAGGGACTGAGGGAAACAATAAAGAAAAATAACTGTATATTCAGCAGTTTGAGTTACAAGGAAGAGGAAGGCAAACACACTGTGATTAACTGGAAGTACCCAGGAAGGCAAGAACAAAGGAGAGAAATTTACTGGTTTGGGAGTGGCAGGGAGACCTCCAAATACTTTGTTTTACAAGGACAGTGGGCCTTGAGCTGGAGTCCAGTCAGTGAGTGCATTTACTCAAAGAGAGATGGTCCATCTAACTTCATCCGATTGCCCCATGGAGGAGACTTCACTAGCACCTGGTGCAAAGGAGGCATGAGAGAGCAGACTGCTGCTCCTTTTCCTGACTGACAGACATGCTGTGACCCAGCTGCATCTACTCACCCACGTGGGCCCAGCTTCAGCAGTGTTTATAAAACTCTTGCTGAGACACTTCCTATTGCAAATGTGTCCTTTTCTCTCTGAACCAGGAGGAGATGGCATTTCTAGCAAAGACTGACTCCTTTCTGAGGGACTTTCCTTAAGAGCCTGAAGTTAGGTTTTATGAATGAGACCTTGAGTATCCGATGAGAGCTGCCGTGGAAGCACTGCATGGTTGTGCAAGGAGTGTCCCATTTCTTGTACATTCTTTATGACTGTGCTGCTTCTTGCGCGCTCGCTGTGGGCAGAATGCATCTCCAGTCTTTGTTGCACAGTAGACACTTCAAACAAAACAACCCCAAAACAATCGAAACCAAAAGCAACAACAAAGCGGCAAGAGGAAACACAGCAATACGCACAAGCAGCAACTGCGTGGTCAGAAGGCGACAACGTCAAACTTGTTGAATTGCACATGCTTCTAACAAAGGCACTAAATGCTGCAGGGAGGCCACATATCTCCCAGCAATTAAAAGCTTGGATTTCATTAGTCAGGCTTACCACTACATTTTTGTTCACAGACTTGGCTTCAGTCTTACATGCTAGAGATATGCCCAAGCCACATTTGAGACTAGATGCAATTAGACAGGAGGGAAGGCGTGGGTGTGACAGGGATCATGTAGGAAAATGCCAACACATGGCCCCTCCCATAGGACTTCAGGCTGTTGAGTGACACCTACATCAAGACAAGTGTCACCCCAGCCTACCTGGCAGCTGTGCTTTTTCAGGGATGCACATCAGTGGGAGTATTGAGATTTCTTCAAGGTGAAAGAGACTGCAGTTCAGCAAGTTGAAGACAAGGAATGAAAACAGTAGACAGACAAATGCTTTGCTCATTTAGGTTGCCAGGTCACTGAGTCAGTATCTCATGTAGTAGCCAGCTAGGGAGTAGAGTAAATCCTGCCCTCTCCATTTTCACATCTTAGGCCATGCTGCACAATGTTAACATCACAAACAAAACTTCACCTTACGCGCAGGTGAAAATGTCCAGTGAGATGAGAAATCACTCAATATCGTTTTAAAACTTGTATGTGTGTATATACATACATAAACACACACAGTGAATATATATATTTGTAGTAAATACATATGAACTTTTACACAATTAAAACCACTCCAGTATATACATGATATACTCCTGTCACTCACCAGGACAATACATTTTGTTGCACTGACAGAATCTGTTGCTCAGTTACCTTTTAAATTACAATTTTTATAAGTTATGCAGAATTGCTCAGTGGAAGGCCAACCTTTGGCAAGCACAAATCTGCAGAAAACCACCAGCCCCAGTAGTGATCATTCAATATTTGAAGGTACCCCCCCAGTTTCCTTCAAATATCAACTCTGCTTTCATAGAAATAAATTGTTTCTAACAATATGCTACAACCCTGTTAAACCAAGCAGGATTTTTCTTCTGGTGCATACAAATATTTCACATCCTCTCTACACCATGCAATGCAAAAAGCAAAATCACATTTGCAAGTGACTGTATTCTGATTTGGCCCCGTAACTGTTTCACTTTTAAAACAAAAACAAGAAAACAAAAAGAAAACCCAACTCTCACATAAACCTTAAAAAAATCAGCAGACAGAGCTCTAGTGATTTAAGTTTCCAAAGGAAATACGTTTTAGTAATAATTAACTCTGTCTGCAGCTGTTAAGTCCAACCATTGCAAATGTAAGAAATGAGGAAAGAAAACTAAACAAAGAGAGCAAGAATTACTTACTTGTCCAAACTGAGACACACACAACTTGTAAAAACCCTTTCACGCTTTTTAAAAATTTGTTTGAATCACCTGTGTGATGTCCTTGTTAAATATCAAAGTAGATTAGCTTGAACAAGTCTATTGGAAAAAGCACTACCTTAAAAATGCGTAGTTCAAAGCCTTATCTAAAAAGTATTTTCAGAGATTAAATTCTGCATCTCTCAATGACATTGCATTATTCACAAAACCTTGCATAATGTTACATTTTGAAACGCTGACATTGATCAGCTGTCAAAGAAAACACAGCTTGTCTGTGTAATAGTTACTCAAGTAAAAAGAGAAAAAAAAAATCACAGAACTTGGCTATTTCTAAAAAACTGACTCTTGGAGTAGAAATAAAATTATTTTAAAAGGTGGAGAAAACAGTAAGGTTCAGTCAGATCTGTATTTTTTATTGGCGACAAGCACTGTGATTTTTTTTTTTAATGAACTCACTTGAGGGTGTGTAAATACTCCTAGCATTAGTAGTGCCCTATGTAGAGTAAGGTAAGAGCACATTAAAGTTTGCATCTCCCGTATTTTGATACAAACTTACAACAGAGTATTTCCAAAAGAGTTTCTTTGACATTAAATTGCTATTTTAAAGTTTGTAATAAAAAAATCTTTAAACAGTACCAAAACCCAGGTAAACCTAGTCTTAATCTGTGTAAGAGGACCTCTTCATAAAAGGAAAGTAAATCCTCTTTTTGGAATGGTTACAACAGTGCACAGAAATGAGACCAGAAATACACACAAGAAGTTACAGGCCAACTGATTTACTGGAATTGTGCAGTAATTTCCACCTTACGGTAATTTAAGGATTGTAGTATGGACCCAGAAAAAGATTTCCAAAAAGATAAAATGCTGGGAGGAGACAGGAAAAAGTATTGGTCTTCCCACACTGGATCTGACGCAGTGTCACGGGCAACCCTGCTTTCAGGTAGTAGATGCGCTCAGAACCAGAAGCTTGATGTTTAAACGTTCCACCACGGACATCCTGTCTAGATCAGTCATGGCTCACTATGTCTCACTAAGGTCAGAATAAATAGGCATTTGTGGCAATTTCAACAGAAGCTGTGTGCACAGAGGCCACCTCATGAAGTTCAGCCTCACTTCTCCAATGCTCACAACCACTGTTCTGTGCGTGCCGACTGCTGTGCTTTTCTGATTACAAGTACAACTTATTTGCACCGCGCGTTTGCACAACACTTTTGAAAAGCGTGAAGTGTTAGCAATTCTAGAATACAGTTAAACTTGACTGCAATTCCGGAGCTAAGACACCTTAGCTTCTGGAAGCACAGATCAGACTCTTCACCTCTCCAGTGTCCCATGCTACATACAGGTTTCAGTGCTCACAACAGCCAGGTAACATAAAAGTAACACTCTGACATCAGCAATGAGCCAGGCTTTTCACTGGAGTTCAAAAGTCCTGTGAAAAATCTTAGTTCAACATGTAACTATTAGATTTTTAGTACACATCATCACAGAGTTAGTGTTTCCTTACAAATATATGGCACTAAGTGTAAAACTTTATGACTTATTCCAAACAGTGTACCATACTTCACAGCAAAACTTTAAAAAGAATCCTCTAACTCCCACTTCTTCTAAATGTACAGCTGGTGGGAGGCCAGGGTGTCCATGAATGGTCGCACAAGGTTGTCTGTCGAGAAGTAGAAGACCAAGCCAAAGGTGATGGAGATGGGAAGGGCAGGCAGTGCTTTCTTAAAAACAGCCAGTAATAAAAGAGTTAAGCATAAACCCTGCCAGAGAGAATAAAAAACACAAGGAGATATAGTAAGAAGCCCAGAAATGTATCTGTCATCAACAAGCTAATATATGAATAATAAGCTATCTACGCTGCACAGCAGCTGAAGCCTGCCTGAGCTAACAGTGGCATGAGGTCCATTTGCCCACACCTTCATCTTTCACACAAGCTGGCCAGGTATTTTCTTCAGCAATCTTGAGCACAGCTCTCTCTCTGCTGAGAAAGTGCTATAAACAGCTAGCGTTGACATACAGCTGACTCCGAGAAGTTAATGTATTTACAGATTATTCTACATTTTGTTCTACACCATTATGCATGAAGTACTGATCCAGCAGATAAAAGCACTTAAATCCTGGTGAACTGCACAGATAAGGAGTTTCACTGGAGGAGTAACACAGTGGCATGTACTTCTAGCACCTTCCCAATTTTCAAGGTCTCTTGGGGAAAAAAAGAACAAACCACCCAAACAAAATATCCACTGCTGTTCTTTTGACTGGATTGCTTACTATGATAGGTGAATTCTGGTTGTATCTGGATAGCAGGCCAAGATCTGTTTTTTTGGAGCACACGTGAAAGTGTTTGTACATTTTGGGTAGACAGTATGGCTGACTGCATTTAGGTGTGGATTCCTTCTCTCCCTTTTTAATTCCTCCATGATGACAAAACTTCAGAGACACTAGGCTCCAAAAATTTTAACAGGACAGTAACAGAAACAGAATGGGGCATTTGGCCTCACAGACAGCCAAGAGAGAGCATTCCCCCAGTGAAGGGATCCTGTGCTGGACCCCAGGATATGGAACCAGGTGATCCTGTAAGTTTCTCTGACCTGTGAGGTAGGAAAGCTACACTCAACACACTTTATTAAAGTTAGCTCATTTCTAGTTCTCATCCTTTTTCATCCATGATCTTCACAAGTGAAAGTCACTGTCTTTCACTACCCTTGGGATCCAAGTGGGGAAATGGAGGCCCAGGAAGGATGGCATAATTCATTTTCTTATACCTTCTAAAACTCCTGCCGTTGCCCTCCTTGTTAATTTCCATGAGGATACTGGTGTAAACAGCAAGTTCCTAAATGAAAGCTCAACAGCGTTCGGTCATTAGACCTGGCAGGACCAATTTAGCAGTTACAGTACGATTGTCATCTGCTTCTACTGATAATTTCCATGGATTTTTAAGTCTCCTTCCTTCCTGTTTTTTCCAGTGTGAACACAAGAACGAGATAGGTCTTCATCCTCCTCTTTAGCCATTCTCCTTAGCAAAAGGGAGTTAACCTTTTCAACTACACTTGCTCATCAATGTGGAGTTCATAATATCAACTCCTGTGGCTGACAGAAGTTCCCCATCTTTAACCCTGAAGCAAGCACGCTAACAGTTCAGCCGTAACTCTTTTCCCTGGGGCTGTTTCACCCCCACCATCTCCGTGCTTGGCTCTGCTCTGAGAAATCTTCCCGTCCAGCCTGTATCACTGAGTTTCTCCCAGCAGCTGTTCAAAGACTGTCTGTATAGACAGAGCATTGGGCTGGGACATCCACTGGTGCTTTCTCCTGAACACCCAGCATGTTACCTGCAGAGATTTAGCAGTGCTCGGCTGCCGGTACTTCTAGCAACACCCCTGTGCTGAACAGGCTGTAATGGAGTTTTTAAAAGCTTGCTCACTTACTATGAGAATGGCTACAAAGCAGGCCAGCGTAGTATTCCAGTCTCCACTAGCTGTGGCAGCTGCTTTCCCAACAAGCACGCTGTAAAATATGAAGTCTCCAAGGCCCAGCTTCACACCCCCTGAGAGAAGTGGAAAAAGAAAACAAGTGTTACTTCTGTTCAACTTCCTCCTGAACAAATTCTTGTCCCCTGGGAAGCAGGTGAAGGTTCCTGCTTAAATTGTCTGCGTAGCCAAAAGATGTCTGGAACCACAACCCCAGAACAGATACTGCAGCAGCAAGAAATAATAGTCAGACTCAAGATCTTTGTTGTTCAACAAGTAGCAACTCTTTAAATTAGCTGTGATTAGGCCAAAATGGGTAACAGTGTGTTAACCACAATGACTAAAAATGTCAGGCACTGACCATGACTACACTGAAAACAAGGTATGAAGCTTCCCTTACTTTCCTCCTCCTCGAGCTCCTCAAAAGAAGTGATGGGGCGGGTCGGAACAGGACTCCTCGTCTCCGACATCTGAGAGTCTGTGTGTGAAGGGCTCCTGTGGTCCTCCCTCCCATCTTCAGCTTGGTTCCACAAAAACAGGACAGGAAGAGCAGACCAAAAAAAAAAAAAAAAAACCACCACAACAGGTAGTTACATTTATAACCTGTTTTAATTTATGAAATCCACACTTCTGTAAAGTTTCTCTGGAATGGGTAAGCCCTCTGTTTCTTGGAGGTGTGATCATCAGGACCAGTTCAAGCAGAGACATTTAGTGGCTTTGAGGAAAACACATGTCATTATTTGAAACAGTCAGAAGGGTACACGTTCACAGCTCCTTTGGCAGCTACGCAGGAGTTCAGTGGCTTTAACAAGTGAGTACTTACGCAGAACTAAGTGTTGCTCTGCACAGGCTAGAATGACAAGTAAAACCAAGTAAACTTAATACTCACTCCCGCATTGTTTGGAATCCCACAAAATATGGGATCCTGTATCTTTGGGGTGGAGGTGCTCAGGTGTTCCCTAACTGGTAGTATGACAAAAATGGATGACTAAGAGGACTGCCATTTATGAGAAAAGTTCTGCCCTGAATCACATTGATGTTGGGGCTGGGTGTTCACACGTAGTAAATGGACACACTTTGTTGTTCACAGATTTAATTTTTTTTTTCCTGGTTAAACACATCTAACAGAGCCCTCAGTAGTGCTTTTGGAAGCAGTCAGTCTGTGATGCAGTACTCTATTTGACAGTTCCTATTTTTCAGAAGCATGCATACGAACTTTCCAGTCCACATCAGTCTGATGGGACGCTGCTGCTGCAGATGCAAGCAGACTGTGATCTGGGACACAGAGCTTCCACGGTGGCATTCTGTATGCCTCAGCCTGTAGTTTGCTCCTGCTCTGTGCCCAGTTTCAAAGCAGGATTGTGTCTCAGCGGTTTGTTAGTATGTCATCTGCTTTATCCTGAAATAAGCAGCATGTTCAGTTATTAAGCCTTAGCATACATTTATTGCTTTAACATAAAAAGGTACTGTCATCTCTGAGTGCAACAGGACCAGATGGGGAATCCTCCCTACACCACAAGTCATATTTTCCTCAGTCACCTTCAAAATTGCAGTTTAACTTGCATTTCAGGAAGATAAAAGCAAAGGCACAAAAATTCCCACAGCACCAGCTAGAATGTAAACTCGGAACACATCACCTGCTGTTGTGTAACTGCCCAAACATAAGCCTTTACCCAAGGGTAAATGTAAAGACGTTCATTTTCTTTGGCAAGGTAAGCTATATTGCACGTACAGCTAGGTAGAAGCATGTCTGCTCCACGGCAGTGGCCTGAATGCAACGTGCTGCAACACACTTAAGTTCACCAGCTCATCGGCATTATATTTATGAGTGTATCTTGTAATTTACCATCCCCAGCTAGTAAAAATATAAACTCCCCAGTAGCCCACTTTCAGTTTTGACTTCAGTACATCTGAAGATGTGTGTTGGACAACATTTCTGTTGGTGTATTGTTTGTTTTAAATAAAGGCAGCCTGAATACTGGAGCTTCCTACATCATTGTCTGGGCATCTTTGCTGCCAGTCCTAACAGCAGGTTTCAGAACATCACCAAGTTCTGCAACTAATATAACAACAGTGAAAAAAAAATGCATCCATCAGGATTCAGGGGCTTACATTTACTTGCAGTCTCAAACATACACATTATTTCCATGAGACAGTGCTCTGTATAGAAGTGACATGCAAGCAAACCTGCATCCCACGTCTGCTGACTTGGTCCTCTTGCTGCTGTGTCTGGTTTTGCCATTCCAACTGTCCACATCATAGCAGCTAGAAGAAAGAGAGAAAGTAATCAGTTGCATAAAACATCAGTCACTATAGCTCAGGGGAGCTAAGTATTTATCTGTCCCTAAAAACACAAACCCTTGCCCCTGTAAATGCTTTTAAAACACTCACTCTTGGTTGGTTTCCCTAGGCACTTTGAAGGCAAGGTGGGAAAAAATGAAAGTGGTGCATCCATTCAGTTTTTAAGAAAGTCCCAGAGCACAAACAGCTAAGAGCCAGTACAGTCTTCTCTGTAGGCTAAAGAAGGCAAAAATCCAGAACTAGGGTCATCTCCTCTGTTTTCTTTCTGGTTTCTGGCTCTTCTCTTCAAAGAAAACAATTGCCCAGGAAACGATGGTAGTACAAAAGGTAACCAGAGGTTAACTTACACAGCTCACTCCTCATGTTCTGCTAAAGGTAAAGCACACAAGCGAGGGATATGCAGGAGTTGTCAGAGTGCCAGCTTTCCCACTTTGCCTCTGCCTATTTGTTTTGGTTTTTTCCTATCAAAATATTGGCTATTTCTGTTTTGGTTCCAAGAATAACTGAAGGATGTTTGGAGGTTTATTCTTGAGATTGATCCCTAAATTAAAAAGGAATACAAACCATTCTGAAATCAGTGGAAGGGAACGCAAATCAGCTGTTTGTTTAAGTAGGCATCAGTCTTCCTGTTTTTATAGAAACTGAACTAAACAAAATAAGGCAAGGCAAACATGGTGCCTGCTTTTCCACTACAAACTCAGCCAGGGTGATGTTTTTGCATCTAGAGGGAGCCACAGAATGTGGTCTTGCCATGGAGACACTAGTGTTCTGCACAAGAACGTTTTGTTCAGTATTTAGTATTTGTTGAATTAAATTCTCCTTAGAGAAACTCTTGTTTGTTAACTAGAACATGTGAGAGACTTCATCTAGATTGTCTCAGGTCAGTATAACAGATTGTCCAGTAAAAGGGAGGTCAGCAGAAGCCAACAGAAGCTCTGCTTGGAACATATAAAAGTATTTCTATAACATTAAATGCTTGGAAAAAGAAAAAAAAATCAGGTTGTAGGCATCCTCAACTTACCACTCAACATTTGGAAATACTCGTTCATCTTCCAAGTGATGTAATGAAAAAGTCACTGAGGTCCTTGAAGCACCAGGTCCCCCACCAATTGCCTGCCTTACAACTATCTTAATCTTAAGCACATAGATACCTTTGTGGATAAGGGCACCGGCACTGTCATAGTTAAACAGCCCAAGAAAGCCAGGGAAGAGATGACTTGATTTTGTTTGCAGAGCAATACTTCCCCTTTACAAAAGGAGCAGCCACACAGCAATCAAGAAAGCAAATATGTTCTAAGCACTGCCACCTGTACAGTGCACAGAGCAAGAAGGGGCTACAGGAAGAATGGAACCTCATCACACGTTTAAAGTGTGTCTATGAAGCGCATGCACAAGGAGTAAGTGTATTGAGTGAGCATCATCTAACCACAGAACTTTGCAAACACTACTGTCCATCTAACACAGGTTTTTGCATGCAGAACAAAGGGGCACTGCACTGTATTGACGAAAGGATAAATCTACTTGTGAACATCTCAGCTTCACAAGACAAAAGTGGGCTCGCATTGGCTAATTAGAGTTAGCCCCATTGTAAACTGGTAAACACGGCCTTCTACAAGTGGTCTGTGCCAGAATGTAAACACACACCAATCTTAGGGCAAGGAAGTAACTAAAATAGTGCTCTTGGGTTTGACGCAGAAATAGGTTGCAAGTTTAATCTGGCTAAAAACATTCACATTCTAATCTTACTCACAGGAATATATTAATGCAGGAAAAATGGGCTCATTTCTCTCCTGTGCAGTTTCTACCAGCATTCTCAGTGGCCCCTTGGGACAGAGAACAGCCATCAGATCTGCAAAGAGAAAAGGGACAGACAATCTCATCTCAAACTATTGTGCATATTTGACATTCTTTATCTTTAAAAAGCTATTCTCCCCTCAAAATTCCATCTATCAATATTAACTGGATGACTTCCTAAATGGCAGTTTCTGCCACTTTGCATAGCTCTAGCTGTTCTTGTCCCTGAAGGCGTTGTTCACTCCAAATACCATCCCCACAACTTAATGTAATAATAAGAGTTTTCATTCTGCTAATCCTATAAAAAGCCACTTGAGACTACCACATTATTTATTTGAAGGTAGACAACAGCATTACATCGAGGTGTTAAATTTAAAGGAGGACTGGGTGGTACTTTGTTCACATTCCATGATCCATCACTACATATGCTGTTTCACGTGAATGAAGGCCTTTGGTCCAGTTCCTCTTTGCCTACCCTCTCTCCCCCGTCAGAGCTCCCGGCTACCTCTTGTTCTGCGGGTTCTCTTGAAACTTTTCACTCATACCAAAATCCACGATCTCTCAATAAACAAAGCGTGCAAGACTATCGGGTTGCTACTGATAGAAATCCAACCACCCCTACCATGCAGTTAGATGCGGTTAAGTACTTCCCTGACTTGGTGTTCCACTTCGAAAGACGTGGTAGGAGTACAGTACCTACGCGAACAAGTTAGCAAGACACAAGCCAGGGAGTCAACTTCATTGCCCATCTGCCTCTTTCTAAAGCTGTTAGCACCATAAAGGTGTTTTTTGAATGACATGCAGAGTCCTGAGATTGCCTCAGAGTAACCTCTCCATGAGCCACACCTTGAGAGTCACAACCCAGACTTACCATAGATGGAGATTGCACCTAGAATCACCCAAGCTGACCACTCAGGTAGATATTTAATGAAAACGAGTGCCATCAGGGCACTGATCATAATGAGATATGCTTGCTGGAGCTGCAAGGGTCCTTTCCAGTGTATGCAAATCATTCCAACAGCTCCAAAATTCCAGATTACTAAGAACAGAGTGGGGTAATCCATGGCCACGTTGTACGTCTTCAGTACTTCACTGGAATACAAGAAGAAGATTTAGCTGAGCAATAAAAGCAACTGACACACAAAGCATCCTACTAGCTGTAGTTAAACAAACAAGCCTCCTACTACACCAGGAGGAAGTAGGATAGAAGCAGCTTTCATCCTGAAAGGGGAAGCTGCCTTTTGGCCAATTGCTGCTCTTTGCTCTCTGGTCCTCTGCAGGAGACAGACATGCTGTGTGCACAGACAAGCACCACACTGCCTTAGTCCTGAGGTCAACAGCGATTCCAAGGGTTTGAGCAGGTGGGATTTCAAGGCTTAACTGAACATAGGCGTGTGGCTACACGACTACTGTGCTGCAGACAATAAGTGACATAAGAGTCACCTCACCAAATGCATGATGCTCACTGTTAAAGAAGAGCAGCAAAGTTTTAAAAGTGTCACCAGCAGGTTAGAAGTTTGGCTCCCTCCGAGCTGGGAGCTAAGGGAACGAGCTTGAAATGATGTAGTCTGAGAAGAAGGCAAGGCAAATCAGAGAACTAACTCAGCACATAAAGTTCCTTTCCACCTGCTTCTCAACGTATAATTCAGGGCCTCTGTACCACCAGGTTCATCCTGTTCATTTCATGTTCCTGGTATCACTTCCCAGTGATTTTTGTAGAGTAGGGACTGTAAAATCAGCTATTGCCTATTAAAGACCTCATTTTCCATTTCTGAAAAAAGAAAGCTATCTCATTCTAACGATTTTTAAACCTCCATTTGGAGAAGGGGAGACATTCCTTTCCTTGTTCAAGTTAGGCATTTTCTGCAGAGAGGCAGGTTACCTGCACCATTCCCACTTACCCGAGATATATGTAGGTAAAGAGGAAGAGCAGCATCAAAGAGGACAGGATCAGCCAGCCATGGATGAACTATCAAGGGCAAGAAGAGATAGTGATTGAAGGGGCTGTTACCCCTCATGTAGGTCGCAGTGCTGCATGCACTACTGACACAGCTTCCTATTGTCCAGCAGTCTCCTGCACTCCTCCTCCAGTTTCCAAAGACCCTGCCCTTCCCCACTGCCAGTAAGGGAGGAGGGACAGCCAGTTGCTCCCAGTTCTCCCCAATTCTTTCATTTTATATTCCATCCCTTGGAGTTTGTTCTTTTTGGTCTGGTTGGGTTTTCTTAGTCTCTTTCCTATCCATTTCCATGGGTATCCATACTGGCTCCTAGCTTAGACAGGAAAGCGCCTTCTGTGTGGTGGGGAGGAGGAGGGGTTTTTGCCCAAGGTTGTACAGTAAATCCATCACAGGGCCAAGTTTAATAGGCAGCAATGGCCAGTGCTGAAATGCTGGGCTGGTACCACATAGAACAGCTCCCTGGGCACCGCAAAACCTGAATGTGCCTTTCCCTCCAAGCCTTGTTCCCTTCCACCAGAGCCTCTGCAGGCAGGAAGAATACCAGTTCCCACAAAGCTTCTCTGAAACTTAAGGCATTCGCAGTAAATGGTACAACACAGTCCATAAGTACAAACTACAAAACATTTTGATCAGATGGAGAAGACTCGGACCTGACTAACACAAAGTAGCAGGCCTCGTTTTTAAGAGCCTACCATTAGTGACAAAATAACAGCAAAGCGTATTTGGGGGCACAGCTCTACCACTGCTGGCAAAGGCTTCATCAGGAAATGAGACACTCATCCAAATGAACATGCTATTCCCTGACTGCTGCCAGCTAGTGGGTAAAGAGACTAGGAGTTCAGCCTGGGCCTTTTATGCTGCAGCATGAAGCAACTTCGTTATTACACTGCTCACAATATGATTCTTGCGATGACTAAGATGTGGACTTGCCAGTGCAGTGCCTGTATTTCTCACTGACACACAAGCCCCACTTGAACTTAAGTTCACAGCGTATAGGTGGAAAAGGCTCTGGCATGAACGCTTTACCTTGTAGCAGCGGTATTTATAGAGCAGAACTAGAAACACGGTCATTACAACGATGACGCTGATCATTATGATGGTGTTCAACACTGAGTTCAAGAGACGCTGGCCTACAGATGGGGTATCCTCACTGAAAGGGGTGTAGATCCTGCAGGATAAAGCAAAAGCCAGATAAAGTACATATATTCTCTTCTAACTAACTACCCCAAGATAAAACCAGACCTGCGTGTGGGAAAGAGAGGGAGGTATGACTGCCAAGGACAGCAAACATGAGATGTAGCCTCTGAAGGGGCTGGGCTCCAGTTAATTATCAACTAAAGATTAGTGGTCTCTGTCAAAAGCACATTCCTTCAGAGAACCTGTGGCTGGCAGAGCTCTAAGAAAAAGACACCGAGTATAAATGACTAAGTTTAGTAAATTGTCTCCAGGCCACGAATTTTTATTGCATGCTCTGGACCCCCTCCATGATAATTACAAGGATGCATCCCAGGTGCTGTCCTGAAAGGGGGGACCCTTTCTTTCCACACTTGGTAGGAGAGTCTTGGACTCTTTTATCCCTTCTCATCACTCCGCACCCCCCTTCCCATTTTATTTCCTGTGGTTCAGTTCAAGGGACCACAGTCCGCGTTTTTCCACCTGCTGTGTGAAGTGCAGTCAGAGCCCCAGGAGTGCTCTCAGGCACAGTCAGCAAGAGCTGGATGGAATTACTCCACACCGTGAGTCTTTAGGAACCAGAAATGTCATCAGGAAATGAGACACTCATCCAAATGAACATGCTATGACTGCTGCCAGCTAGTGGGTGAAGAGACTAGGAGTTCAGCCTGGGCCTTTTATGCTGCAGTATGAAGCAACTTCGTTATTACACTGCTCACAGGCTTCGCTTAGGGCGCCCTGACAACAGTGCTAACGAATCAGTATAATGCAAGTATGGAAAAACTTACACAGATGAACAGAGCATACTTTAGTAACATCTTTGTACATTTACACAGCTACCTTTAGCTGCGTAAAGGTTCTCCCAACCTGCCAAGGAAGCACTCTGCGTACACAGACACATGTGCGTGGAACGTATGTGTAAAGCTAAGGATCCCGTGTACTCAGAGGCTGTTCTGAAGACCCCACTTACAGCTGCCCGTTTTTCTCCGTATAGAAGCGCACTGACTTTATGGTGGCGACGACAACAATCATACAAAGGGTGACAGGCACAAAGAGCATGATTACATGCTTTGCTCCATATTTCAGAGTCAGTTCCTCCTCTTCGTTTTCCAAGGTGCTTTCTCTCACTGGAACACCCGAGTCAGACATATCCCCATCAGCGATGTTGTTAGGGCTACGGCTGCTACCTGTTCGCCTCTTCTGAAAAGAAATATTAGAACGTATGTAAGACATTTCTTTGTGTTCAAAGCTTCAATCCACAATATTTCAAATTGTTCCTAATAGGAAGGTACCAACTGAACAATACGATTAGAAATTCCATTACAAATGGGCTGCAACAAAGTTGCAAAACCATTAATATCTAAGGGCCTCTTCAGGTGCAAATACACAGATGGACACATGCACACGAAGGGCAAGGTGCACAGAACTGAGAAGAAAGGCCATCTGGAACAATACAATTAGAAATTCCATTACAAATGGGCTGCAAAAAAGTTTTTAAACCAAAACCATTAATATCTAAGGGCCTCTTCAAGTGCAAATACACAGATGGACACATGCACACGAAGGGCAAGGTGCACAGAACTGAGAAGAAAGGCCATCTGAAGTGGGATAAGCTTCATCAGTTCCTCCTCCCACAGCAATGCTGTGCTTGCTTTTACCCTGCTGCTTCGCTGACAGCAGGACTAGATTCTGTTGTAATGTTTGCTGCATTTGATCAGAGCAGACAAAGGGTTTCTGGCAAAACAAGAAGGCTGAAAAGGATATCCTGCAAGAGTCATATGTGCATCAGGTCCTGATTAAAAGCCTGTATCTTTACCAAAGGGAAGGAAAAGGGAGGAGTATATACGGAGATAAAAAGGAGGGAAAGTCACAGTGGAGGAAATAGGAATAGCTGCTGGCTGAGAGAGTGACACCAGAGAAACAACGCTGGCCAAAACCAATGCTAGAAGCCAGTCTGCTGGGAGGGCTGGAAGGGTAGCAGGACTACATCTATCATCACACCCCATTTCTTCGCTCCCCGGGAAGGACGAATACCTACCCTATGTGCCTGCACTTCCCCTGCTTCTGAGGGCTGCAGGCCATCCTGGTAGGAGGGTACTGGAGGGCTCTCTGCAGACATCAGGGATGTTCTCTCATTGCAGGGCTCCTCCTCGCTGTCTGAGTTGTTCATGAATGTGATCATTATTGCTTTCCCAGGGAGCACTCAGGAGAGGCACGGCCAAGCACTACTCAAAGGCTGAGGGGACAAACAGAGCAGAAGGAAAGAGAAACAGTGAACACCACAGTGCAAACGACTGGATGTCTGAAGAGGAGACACAATTTCAGCAGGGAGGTGACAGCACCATATCTAACTCCATCTCCTCCTAACAGCTGTTTTAGCCTGCTGTCACCCCAGGCTTGACAATCCGTTCAGTGGAAGTCACAGTGACTTTTGCGGTCAGGGAGAACAGCAAAATGCTGAAGCAATTTAATACTTTTTCTTTGCCACAGCTTTCCCAGTTGCCTCTATTTTCCCTCTCCCATTAGTACACCTTGACTTTCACAAAGGAGGTTTCTCAGTGCTTAGTGTTTGTTTTGCATGGGCCAAACAAAGCTCCACCTCAAATGCTGGCTGCCTGTTAGAAAGCTGAGAGCTCAGCTCTTAAACAACACTCCCGCAAGCATCGGCAGGTAGCCGAAGTTTCTTAGTAACCCGGAGCCTTGGCTTTACATAAGCCACCAACCAGGAGTTACATGCTGTCTTCCCTGTTACCACTGTTTATTAACCAGATGAATTTCATAAGCAGTTCTTCTCTTTGCCGATGGACAACAGCAGATTTGTGTAGAAAGGGAAAGACCCATCAAAGGTGAGCCACTTTTTTTTTCCTTACGTTGCTTTGTGATTAAAAGCAAAGCCACTTGGATGGGCAACAACTTGGAGTACAGAATTGGGGGCTAGAAACATTTGGCCTCTTTCCACCTACTGCTGTGCAGAAAAACAAGCAGAGCAATGGCACAGTGCAGAGAGGAAAGGAACAGCTCTTCTTTCTAGACACCAGAGAGAAGAGGTGCACTGCCCTGGGTACTGCAAAGCAGCCTTAAAGCCAGGATTTCAGGAAGCTCTAAAGGCAGGTGGTAGGAAAATTCCTTTTAGCCTTTATTAAGTCATCTTAACAAAGCAACTGGAGTACATAAAGATAATTCAGTCACCTTTTGATTCTCAGCCACCTGTCCATGAGCAAAACCAGACCTCCAATGCACTCTAAAGCTGTAATATCTACAAGAACACCTCCTCTCCTCTGCAGTATTTTACCCAAGTATCTTGCGAGAAAAAGCCTATGTGTCTCAGGAAATGCATCCAACGCAGAAGAGGAAGCTGAAGAAGCCATGTGACTTGGATGGAGTCACTTAAATCTGAATCATGCATTCACAGTCCAACCAGTACACTGTCAGCCAGCTTGAGAGGTCAGAGTGGACACTTTGAAGATCTGTGAGCTTTTCTTGCTTTTCTCTAAAGAAATTGAAATTCACTTTGGGGGAAGAAAAGGAGGAGTGGGAGATTCCCCTTTCTTTCACAACCTCCTCAACACATCTGGCATCTTCAAGAAATTTTAAAATGTCAACTCCATCTGCCCAAGTGAAACATTTTTCAGACATCTGCTCCTCCCCTGCCTTCTCTTCAAGCCTTTTCATATCATTTTGTTCCTCTTTTAGCGATAAAAGTGGTACAGTTATGGGAAACAAAGGGGTAACCCTCAAGCCAAGCTGGTGAGCTTCATGGTAAAACTGCATTCTTACTGAGCAAGACAGCCAGCACCTGCATTTGTGTGCTTACTTCTTACAGAACCCGAAATCTCCACTCTGGGTGCTTAACACACTTCCGACTGAATATGTGGGGGCTCGTAATTTATAGTTGAGACCCCAGATTCTGTTTCAGTTATAGGATTTAGGGCTTCTTTAAAGAAGTCGGGTACATAAAGTCAAATCAATCATGACATACTTCTGGATCTGTGAACAGGTGAAGTTATCCATGCCATGGGATCTGCAACCCATGGAATTTAAGTAACTCTCAAATCCTTCTGCCCATATCAGACCAGGGAAGAAATAAAGATCTACTCTCTGATAGTCTGGGACCAATATTAGGTTTTAACAACCCAATGAGAATATTAAAGAACTTTTTCTCTCAGTATTTAAGAAACTGCAAAACAATTTTTGCTAGATGAACGCAGCAATTCTGCAGAGGATTTAGAAGGGCCAGGCAATTAGCCTACTTTCAACACCCTAGTTGTGCCCACTGGAAGAGTTAAACCAATAACAAAACCACAGTACTAATTGCTTGATTAGTAATCTCCACAATTACATGGAAGAGGAATCTCATGTTGTAATACAGCTGTTTTTAAACTGGGCATTTTCTGCTATTCTCCCTCAACAAGGATGTGGACGAATGCAGAGATGCAACAATACTTCTGGTCAGCAGGCAGACTCAGACCTGAATACAGCTTTACAAAGCTCTGGTTTCAGTGAGGGCTGACACGAACGGACCCCAAAGCATCCAGGATTTTACAGGAGCTCCTGTGGCAACCAGCCCTCAAGAAATCCTCAGACGCTGTATTCACAACTGCCCTAAACTGCCCTAAACATGCAGTCCTGCCAAAGGGGTGGTCCCACCACCCTCAGCATCTCTGGTGCCAACACCAGGTGATCATCAGTTGTCTGCCTCTTTTCAAAAAAGACAATGGGCACTTGTTTTCCTTTGCTTTCACAGAGCCAGGTTCCAGCAGGACCATCTCCCAGGCTAGCTATGTGAGCAGCCCTGGTGCCAGTGCCCCCAGGAGGAAAAGGGAGCGCTGGGCCTTTCCCCTTCCAGTCGGGTTGAGCCTTATGGTGACAAACCCTATGCTTGCTCCTGGACAACCAACACACTCTCACCTTCAGGTCTGCAACACCTGCAGCAGCGCAGCTCTTAGCCAAGCAGGGGTCTTTAACATACAGTTCACAGAGGCAGGAACACTGGCCTTCCCCTCTGCCCCACCACAGACCCAGCAGGGAGTTCGTCTAATGCTACTATTTATTCATCACAGCTGCACTCTGAACAGGCACCGAGGCTGTGCTGGCTGCCAAAGAGAGCTTTCATTTAAGTGGTCTGTTCTTCAGGGGAGGAAGCATCAGCCTGGTCACTGTCACACCCACATACCCTTTGGGCTGAGCAGCGGGAAAGAAGAGAGAGCCTCTGTCCCAGGGGCTTGCTTGCCAAATGGAAAGGGAGCCACAGAGCACTGGGTAACCAAGAAAGGGATGTTAAAAGCCACGCTGCTTTCTGATACCATTTCACTGGTTAAACTAAGGGAAGGGACCTTCCAGAGATGATTTTTGCCTCCCTAGGATGCTGGATACCCCATAATGGAAAGCACAGGAATCTTCTTTCCTACTCATGCACATGACATCAAATACATCGGTGCACACTGACTGTGTTCTCCTAGGCTGAGCTGAAAAGGGGGGAGGACAGTTCAGCAAAGGAGAGCATGGAGAGCCGAGACAAGCACACTTGCTTTCTGGGTATAGCAACAAGAGGAGTTTTCAGGGGGCGGGGGGGGGAAACGCAAGCTGTATCTATATTCACAGAAGGCTATAGAGCACAGTCTACTGAATCACTAAACAAAGGAGATGAACAACATGTGCCACACTATCATCAAATTGACCCAGCAGGTTGCAGGGTGTCAGGCAAAGTTTTCCTCTTTTCCTCTGTGGATGGATTCAAACCATCAGGTCCCATTCAAAAATCATACGATGTTTAAGAGCCAAGAGACCAGACTCTCAAAATCATACAGCAAAAATGAAAGGGGACAAAAATTTAGGTCAGTAGTGTGTGCTTCTTATAACGGAGCAGCTGAGGTGGGAATACAAGGACTCCTGCTTTATAGCAGTCTTGCGAAGCCTGCAGGAAAGCAGTACTCACCGGTTTTCTCTTGCTGCGTGTCCTTCGTGCAAGGGACCTCTCTCCTCAACTGCGATAAATCAGCTTTATGGATTTTGATGAAACTGGGACAATTCACTCTAACATTAGGATCTAGTCTCGGTTTGCCTTTTAATTTCATGCTGCAACATCACCGTGCTGCAAACAAACCTAAATCCTTTGCTTTGCATTTCATCCATCACAAATAATACCAGTACAATATACAGCACAGAACAGCTGCTGTAGGCTGGCAGAATACTTAATAATCCACTTGAGAGTTAAAATTTCTGCTTATACATATTGTTCTCTTTGATGGCAATTAGATGAAGAGAATTAGTTTTCCTTTGCTATATTTGGATCACGAGAAAGCTTTGGGCTGACACTGACAGCGTCACATTCTCCTAAATTTCAGCATAGTAATCACTGCTGTTGGTAAACACAAAGAGGAGGACAAAACTTTTAAGAAATCTTAAGTGGTGGGGCCAAAATTAGGAGAAAAGATTTCCAGATTCTTGCCAATAAAGCCAGAACATGCACGTTGCTAAAATGATAGGGATCTTGTAACACACCGACTCAGTGGCCAAAAGAGACCTTGCAAATGCTGTTCACTTTCAGCCCCAGAATGCAAAAATAACAGAACTTGAGCTACTATGGGAAGTTGTAGAGATTTGTAGCCCTCTCTCTCCTCTTTAGGGCATGCCAACATAGCCGAACTAGCACTGCTTTCTTTTGCCCCACAGGAAAGGCACACCACATAGCCCCAAAGGGTTATTTTCTGAAATCAGACCCTCGCCAAGAAGGCTTATTTTGCCAGCATTAAGCCCAAATACACTAGCAGTCAACTTCTCACTGAGGCATAAAGGCGCCACAGCCCCGCAGACCTCCTTACACCGGTAAAACCTCAAAGCCTGGCTCAGACCTCACGCACAGGAGCAGCTACTTGCGTTGGCCCTAATCCTGCCGGG